TGGGCATGGTTATAGACTCGTTATAACACAAATAATATGTAATATAGAATCGAAGGTACTTTCTTGACCTTTGCCGAGAATGATTGTAAAGCTCTCACATTACTATACAAAGCCAGGAACATATCCTGAGAATAGCCAGGCATAATGACATGATGCTGACAGATCTGAGGTGTTGTGTAAACACCCCTGTGGTTTTCTTGCCCAAATGAATAGACACGTTTATCTGGCGTTTTTGAAACGAGAAAAATCGTAAATTTGAAGCGCTCTAACTTTTCCGCAACAAAAGATTTTGTTTTCAAAATTCGCAAGAATAGAAATCCAATCTGGAACTAAAAAACGGTGTCGGCGATTTTTGATTTTCGCTTTCGTTGTTTAGATATTGCCCAGTTTGTACACTGATACACGGTAAATTCAATGATCAATAATTGGGACTCTGTAGCGGCTGATCTAAAGCAGTGATGAAAAATCGCCGACACCGTTTGAAGTTTAATGTATAAGGAAAGTGTTAACGTGGTTTTCATTGCTAAGACGGCAATCCTGACAATTTTGAGGCAATTCAAACAAGGTCCGGTCAAAATACGCTTTAGGCGGAATATCTTTATGGCGTTTTAAGTTATGAAAATTTCGAAATAATTTCCAAAAACTACATTTATTTAGCTTCTTAAAAATATATACTTTTATTGAAGTATTTTACAAAGCCGGCGCGTAATTTGCGTTTGCGTGAGTAGTGGTCGTGAACCCCTCCTGATACCTTAATTCTACTGTCAGTGGAGTTGTTCAGGTAGTTTGCCATCTTTATCGTTGTGACCTTGTAGGTGTCTTCAGCGCTTCTAAGSCCGCTTCCTCCATCTTCCTCCGGTAGGTACAGTAGCTTTACTGACTCATTGTAGTGCATCCCTCCTTCTTTTCCTATGATTTCTCTGGTACGTCTGTAAATTTCCTTCAGTTGGTTTATAGTCCAGTCACTTGTCCACATGTGATAATGGAGTGAGGGCAATGCAAAGACTTTGGTTGCATGGACTTTTCTTGGGATAGAGATGTTTCAGGTATTCCTTACTTGCCTCATCACGGACTTGTTCCTCTAGCTGTATCGAATTTTCGTATTTTCCGAGGAATTTGTAGTGGTCATTGGCGTTTAGTACCTTAAGCACCTCTGAGTCAAGAATTTGCACTTTCTACGCATTTTCCTCGTACGATGTCTACTGTAGCGCACTTGTCTAACCCCCAGGTTATGTCTTTTGATGTCCTTGTTATAAGAGCAGCTTTCTTTGCAGACTTGTAATAAGTTTTCAAGTCATCCACGTATAGTAGGTGTATTAGCTTTTCATGTTTGTCATGCGAGTTGCTATAACCTTCGGTACTTCTCAGCCATCATGCTATTGGGTTGAGGCAAAAAGTAAATAGTCTGACGCAGAATGAGTCACCTTGTAGTATTCCTTGTTTCAGAGATATTGAGCCAATGCATTCTTTCTCATTAATTCTGTGACGCAACCACAGGTATCGTATGCGGCTTACACATTTGGACTGAAACATCAGTGGACTTATTTCATGAGAACTTTACCAGATATACAGGACTTGCTTAAACCACTAGAAAGGGAGCCAGTGCTTCAAGACATGAAAGGAGAACACTTGAAACGTGGGTCAAATACTTCACCGGAGGCAAGACTCGATATTCATGCACATGGTTTTTGGGAGACCCAGCTATCTGCCTTTTTCGATGTGAGGGTGTGTCACCCCAACGCCATCAATCTTTCTTCTAACTTTTTGGGTGTTGATCCTAATGCTCCAATTGTTATTGGAATCAATTTTACACGCATGTTCCACAATTTCTGAAGCTCTCTTTCAAAATCTTGATATTTAATTTTGTAAGTTTTCAGTTTCTTTTAAATTAACTTTTGAACCATATGGAACAGCAAAATCAACTATTTGACACATTCTGTCTCGTTTATTAACTTTTGAACCATATGGAACAGCAAAATCAACTATTTGACACATTCTGTCTCGTTTATTAATGATAACTAAATCTGGGCGTCTTGCTTCTATTATGTGATCAGTTTGGATGTTGAAATCCCATAAAACTTAAAATCATCATTTTCATAGACTGATTCTGGCTGATGTTCATACCATTTTTCTTTTGTTTCGAATCCAAGTTTACTACAGACCTCCCAGGGAACACGTTTTCCAAGCCAATGATGGCGTCTCTTGTATTTTCGCTGGGCCATTTTACTACATTCACATAATAAATGATTAATAGTTTCACCAAATTTTCCACACATTTTACATTTGCTTTCTTCCTTGTCAATCTTGGCTTTGATTGCATTAGTTCTTATTGCTTGTTCTTTAGCTGCCATTATCAAAGATTTAGTCTCCCTTTTAATTCCAGTAGATCTTAAGAGGGAATGTCCACTAACACCGAGCAAAATCGAGAATACGCGGCACATGATGAAAAATCAAAATCCTTCATATTTTAACCATTGMGACCCTATTATATACTAAGAATCATGGTGGGGTTTGTTTTCGAAAATTTTATTTTAAACGCGAGAAATTTAGAAAAACCMGACACTGACTAAAAATGGCTGAAATTGACAAAAACATCGCGTGAATATCCCTTCTCAGAAACGTCTTATTTGATGAATTTAAAGTAAATAAAAACATCAGTCGACTTCATAATCGTAAATGACAGATAATAATAAACATCTGGATGTAAATTTTGACTTCGCAAGCTCGTTTTTAAAACCATAAAAAGCAGTCAAAATGTAGACAAGTTTGCGAGTAAAAAATTTCTTAATTTACCAGACTTTTTGAATATCAATTTTTCCTGCCCGGACATGTTG